TAAATAACAAGGGGAATACGGGCACATGGTACTGAACACCAAGGGGAGTACTGGCACCGGGTACTGAATAACAAGGGAAGCACCAGCACCTGGTAATGAATAACAAGGGGAGTGCCAGCACCTGTTTTTCCCTCTGCAGACACTGTGTATGAATTATAAATAGGTAAATGAATACAGTATTAAAATACTCACCTCTCCCATGCAGTACTGCAGGCACACACTGGATGGCAGTAGAGATGTTTAGACCCTATTATTTAATACACATTTTCAGATCCTGTTCAAGCAATGTTAAGAAATAGCAGGGTGTCATATATAGGAATAATACATTTAACTGATTTCAAGAGAACATGTGGGCAGTAGTGGCTTGATGGTTAGGGAAGCACACTTGTAATTGAATAATTGCAGGTTCGAATCCCTGACCAGCAAGGCACCACTGAGGTACCCTGAGCAAGGTACCGGGCCTTGTACTATTCACAGCATTCAATGGCTAATGTATAGAAAAATAAAGTTATTACAATATGCCATGACAGTTGATATAATGAAATTCATTACAGTCAGAAATTGTAACTTTACACAGAATTCTGTTTACTTGTTGTATTAATGGCTGCTTTTAAGGAACTGACAGTTTGCATGGACTGTTTATATTTATAAAGCAGTGAAGTTTAGAGCTGTTCTGACAATGTTGTGTGATTCTGATAGCAATGCTATACATATTTTGTTAAATATTATGAATTAAAACCTCTAATCCTGGGATCCCCAACCCAAGCAATGGTGAAAGTTATCTGAAGTAAAATTAGTCCTAATTGTCCTGTACATGTTACTCAGGCTACTAGCAGCTGTGTTGCTGAGCACCTTTCTAATGAATAATGATTGAGGCCAGGCATGGAGCGGAGTGTGTGCTGGCAGAGCTGACGGAGCAGAGCTGACGGAGCAGAGCTGACGGAGCAGAGCTGACGGAGCAGAGCTGACGGAGCAGAGCTGACGGAGCAGAGCTGACGGAGTAGGACAGCCTTTGGAACACCAATTCTGAGTGTGATTAAGAGCCTCTCTGAATAATTACTCTTCTGTTTTTTCCTGTTTGTCATCCAAATTTTCATGAAACTTCCCAAGCAGAGTGTAGCTCTGTCTTCTCTCTTTTTCACCTTCACCTTGTTTTATACAAGCAGGTAAAACCGCCTCCCTTGACCCACCCCCTAACCCACCCCCATCCTAATCCTCAAAGAATTTTAGAACTCAGGATTTTATCCTCCCTTGCTTTCATGTTCCAAGCCCAGATTCCATCTGATTCAGTTTGGGTGGCTTTCTTCACCTGTCCGGTAGAACCGTATAATAATTGATATAATAATTGATTTCTTCACCTGTTGCGGCGCCCATGCAGCTGGGATTTAAGGGCCTTGCTCAAGGACCAGCAGATGTACCGAGGCTGGGTTTGAACTGGCGACCTTCTGATCACAGGCACACAGGCTTAGCCCAAAATTTCAATGAAACACTCTTTTTGAACTTTGTAAACAGTTGTGTTTCTGAAGAGTACAAACTAGCAGCGGTAACAATGCTTAAACAAAGCAGAATGTAGTACAGTGGGATATAGATCATGGCCAGAAGGTTGTGGGTTTGAATCCCAATCATATTACCTTTGGATCCTTAACCCTGACTATTAAGGGGTGCTGGATGTTGGTTGACCCTGCTGTCTAACCCCAAACACCCCAAGTTTTTGTCACTTGTACATCACTTTGAACAAGAGCATCTGCTAAATTAAAAAAAAAAAGTAAAGTAGTGGTGTTTTTAGTACGTGGATTAACGAGTGATCCAAATTTAACCGTTGATGATTTGAGAGGATCCTGGATTTCTCGTTCTTCAAAAATGTTCTTGGGTCTGTTGCCATTGCAATATTTCTGTAAGCTCAAACTTGCTTGGGAGCAGGTTTATTCAACATACAGTATTCATTTATGTCCATTGTAGTGGACATTTTGTTTTTGCATCTATCTTTTCACTGATGTAAGGAAACATATTTATTCCTGTTGTACACTAAAGAGAACATGCTGTGAAATTAGAAATAAAAATAAATTTGAAAAAATCTAAATTGTAAGATGTCTTATTTCCTCCAAAGACAAAAAACCTGAAATTGAAGGACACTTTTCCCCTTGGGTCTCAGGAGGATAAAATAAAAAACAAAGATACCCAAAATTATAAGATAGTATCTCATAATTTCAACATAGTAAGTCAAACTACAAGATTCTAAATCGAAATTATGAGATAACCTGGACCAATCACATTCCTTCATACACACATAATTGCTGTGTTACAGCCATGGAAGCCCGTTTGAATGGCTTCCATGGAAACAGGCTTCCATAGTTATAACACAGTAAGCATATGTATATGAAGGAATGTTTATTTCATTGTCCCAAAATGATTTCCTAATGTGATAGGGGCATTGGACTGTACCCAGGTCCAAATCAAGGCCCCATCAGATCCAAATGAAGAGGACTTCAGATGTTTTCACATCAAAGTTCTGGAACCTGGTCCCGGTTTACGAGTCTCTGGGCTGTCTCAGCTTGGAACTTTTGTAGCTCTTGGCCACTTTCGTGTGTTGCACACAACAGGAACTGCCCCCCCCCCCCCCAGTAAATATGTGGACACCACAGTTGCCAGCTCTCCCCAAAAAAATAAAAATGAAATTTGAAGCATTTAATTCTCTAAACCAGATGCCCAACTGACCGATTTCTAACTCGGTCGTGAGATGATTTTTGGATAATGCTCCATTTCATCATTCAGCAGAGCTGCCAGAGACTGAATTGTGGGCCAGTTTTTCCAATGATGACAGCGCATGATCATTTGAATATTTCTTTTTAATGATGAATATGGACACTCACTGCTTTTCATCCTGTAATGTAAATAACATATTGCTTAGTAACATGTGTATTGTATGCGCAATTATACATATACATATTTTGCCCATACTACACTTGTCAAACAATATATGCATGAATGTATAGCAGTTGTTTCTGAAGTAGTTGTATCTGCAACTGCAGTTTTGTTTTCTTTAGTTCTTCCACTTCCATGTCCTGCTTTATTTT